TTCGTTATTATGTCTAGAGTGATGCATTACAGAGAGGCAACAGTTTACACTAAATGTAAGTTATGCCGAGTGGTGTCTCTCTAATGTGATTGAGTACTTTAATTATCTCACGGAAACCTCCCCACATACTCATGTACTTTTATAGAAGACATAAACACAATTGAATAAAGGAAGGGAGAGAGGGGGTAGAGGGGGAGAGAGAGAGGGGGAGAGAGAGAGGGGGAGGGAGAGGGAGAGAGAGCAAGGGGGAGAGAGAGAGAGGAGAGAGAGAGGAGGGAGGGAGAGAGAGGGGTAAAGAGAGGGAGAGAAGAAATAGACTACAGCAAATCCTTTAATATAACCACTCAAATGTAACAATTCACATACATTGTACATTGTATACATGTTATATTCATGTACATGTATCATGTGATAATCATGTGACTTACGACAATGTCCCTAGCGACCTCATAAGCTTGAACCAGCTGCGAGGACTTGTACAACACAAAAGTGAGATGACCAGTCTCCGGCGAGGCAGTTAAACTGTGAGGAAAGGGTTAAAATAAGAGACCACACCCACAAGATTTTTACCTGTAATGATAGGATAGACCCATCCCTCTAATCTGCCGCCACATTGGACCCTAAACACATGTACATGTAATCACATGACTGGCACATGATATACGCATGTACATGTACATTATGATGTAAAATAAAAGAATTCAAGTACTAACTTCTAGTGTTGCCAGATATTCAGCAAATATCATAATGGAAGGAAGATCAGAGTGAGAGTAATCGGTGATACAAGGGAGGCACTGCGTTAAGTAGTTGGACTCAACTCCACCCACTCCAGCGATTAGGGACTGACCGTATGCCGTAGGTAATAACTGAGAATAAGAGGGAGGGATAGGAGGAAGGGAACTAGGGGAGAGAGAGGGAGAGAGAGAGAGACAGAAAGATAGAGACGGAAAGATAGAGACAGAAAGATAGAGACAGAGAAGTGATTAACTGATAAAGACAGGAAAAGGGAAATGAAAGCTGAGGGGAGATATTGTCAATCCTAATATACACACACACTTTGATCATGACAACAAAAAAAGTACAAAAACTACAGACACATGTGCATATATGGACATTCAATGTCCATATTATGATAAGAAAGAAAAACAATGTCCCTAGACTAAGTTAACATGTAGTGTGTCCATTATTATACAGTTAAACGTTAATAGTGGATGTACATGTACATCTGTTGTAAAGACCTTCTTGCTAAATTCCCTGAAACTAGTACAAGTAATAATTATACAGACTTAATAAGATATGATAGTGTAATTCCATTGACACTGGCTCATGTACACTGTACATGTACATGTACATAAATATAATAATAATAATCACATTTATTTATATATACACTCAACAAATAGATGTAGCATTACAATTATATTACAATCTTAAATATATTAATGTTAATAAATAATGAAATTATACTGGCCATACTTGTACATGTGTTACGATTATGCTAATTAAAGAATAATAATAATAATAATATAACAACATTGAAATGATGTTTTATGATTATAATTTAATGTTGAGCCAATAAATTAGAAGATAAAACGGCCGAAATTCTCTCCTTCTCCTTTCCTCCCTCCCTCTCT